ACGAGGACAACAAACTGCTACGGTTTATAACGGACGTTAAGAGAGGCTCACTTAAGCTTCGTGTAATGGGCTATTTTAGCACTCGGGAGATAAACTGGCAGACCTGGGTGGCTCCAAGAGGGTCATTTGTGGATCATCTGACTTCTGCGCTCCATGAACATACAATAGTGAAACATGTGTACCAGGAAATCAGATGGAGACCTAGCCAGGCTGGGTCAATTTTAGACCTAATCGTAACACAGTGCCTATACGATATCGACAAGGATTTAAATGGAAGCATCGTTACGGAAAAGCGATCTTGCGGTGGTTCACCTATCGTACTCCCTAGAAGGGACCCGGGTGCCCGACAAGAGGGAACGGAACTTCAGCCGAATAAACCAAGTAGAACTCATCGGGAAAGCGTCGTCCTTAAACTGGACGGTGGGACCGACCTCCGTTCAGACCCTATGCAGGTGATTAGGTGGAACCTAATAGACCTCACTAATGAAGTTGTACCTATCCGGAGACTCAGAAAGGCTAAAACTCCACCGAGGAGGAGATCTCGTGTGCGCAAAACAAACATTAAAACGAAAGAGGCTTGGAAGCAGTACAAGGCCAGGTGTAGGCACCGCAGTCTCTTGTAGTACCTGGCGACCAGAAAGAACGTCACTAGTGTTCAAAGGGAATGTAAATAAGTCTATGAGATGAGACTAGCTAAAGATGCCAAAACAAACCCCGAGGCATACTTGGGGTACGTGCAATCCAAGAAATGCCTACGAATTGGGGTGGGGTACGTGAGAGATGCACAAGGGACAGAGGTGATCACTGACTACGAAAAGCCAGAAGTACCGAAAGGTACTTTTTTAGCAGGTTTAAAGGACAGACAATGAGACACCCCTCCCAAACTATCCAAAAGATGTATCAGCAATGTATGATCACCTAATTGAGGGTGAAAAAGTTGAAAGAAGTGTATCTCAGTAAGTTAAGCACAAGTCAGCTGGAACGGACGGTACCCATCCGGTCATCCTGAAAACACTAGCCTCGGTAGTGACAAGTCCGCTAGTGAAGCTCTTTAATGCTTCGCTAGAAACTGGAGCCTTGCCAGAGGAGTGGCTGCACGCCATCATCGAGCCTATAAACAATGGTGGAGATAAAAGCGCCAGGGAAAATTACAGGTCTGTTGGCGTAACTTCTGTGGTGCTGAATATGATGTAGAGAGTGATCCGGGAGAGATCAGTTAACCACCTTGAAAGGCACGGACTGGTTTCCGGATCGCAGCTTGGGTTCGTGCGTAAGAGGTATTGCTTAAGGAACCTACCATGTCACTTGGACGAAGTGACGAGGATAATCGACGGGGGATAAAAGTTAGAGGTAATCTACTTAGATTTCCAGAAGGCTTTGGATTCAGCAGACCATCGATGATTGTTATCTAAGCTCCAGTGGTTCGGTGTATCAAACCAAATAGTGGCAAGGATCAGGGCAAGCCTGCTTAGAAGGACATTCTGGGTGCGTGTAATCTTATAATAATAATGATAATAGGTGTATATTTCACGAAGCCCGTGAGACATGCCCAATGCATGATCAAATATTCAGAGCGAGTATACGTACAACAACAGCGTAAGTACATAGGTAGACAATAATAAAATTTTAAAAAATGGTGGGGATCAGAATGAAAACACAGAGTGAAAGGAACACAAACCGGACAAGGTCATAGACGAATTTATGAAGGATGGAGGATGCAGCGAAAAATACATGTCACTAGAACTGCAAGTAATAGTAAAGCTGGTCTCGAAAGGATTGGGCGTACAGCAAAAGTGTGGGAAATACGAAGAGGAGGTCTGTAATACAAATGCTACCCGATGGTAGGGGCATGAGGACAGGAATAGAAAGTGAGGGACACAGCAGCATAATACGTCGGTAAAGGAACATGTTTCACTCTATGCTGCAATACAACTCGCTTTTGGCGACAAGTTCATTGGGTTCGGTGCTTCAATCAATCACGAGTGGTTTGGTTTATTTAGGTTAATTAGGCGTTGGTCGCTTTGATGTGGGACTGACTACACACTAGGCACCCAACCTGAAAACTCCTTGTAGGTGGGGCAGGGGGTGTGATTCTCAACCTGGTCCGGAACGCGGACGCGTGTAGGCAAAACGGTGGGAACAGCCGTGCCCAACAACCATTGCCGGAGCCAAATTGTCCATTGCGGGTGAGGACCCCAAGCCTTCGTCAGGCCAAAACCAAACGAATCTGAAACAAAGAGGCGATGGGCAGCAGTCTGGGGTAGTGCCCAGCTGAAAAAGGAGAAGGAGAGCGGGAAACGGAGCATGCAGCGGAAAACAAAAACAGAAAATGAGTGGACACCAAGAAAGTTGTACTAAAATGATAGGGTACCGATGTCGACTACAGAACATTAAATCACAAAACATGTGAAAGTATAAACCACACAGGATTGTGTTCCACGGATGCAGCTTTTAACGTGGTTTCGTGTACGGGTGATTTTGGGTTACGTTAGTGTACATAGCTACCTGGTTAGCATGTGCCACAGACGAGGACGGATAGGATTGAGTAAAAACAATTCGAGGAACATATTGTTTTGGGATATTAGGTCACAATACTTGTAAAGCATGTACCAGACAGGATTGTGTTCCACGAATTCTGCTTTGAGGCGGGTTCCGTGAACTGGTAAAAATCGGTTAAGAAAATGTACACAGCTACCTGGTTAGCATGTGCCGCGGATGAGAACGGATAGGATTGAGTGAAAACATTTGAGGGTTTGAGGCCAAATGCTTGTACTGATATGAAAATGTTTGAAAAAGTTGGCACTGGCACCTTGTGAGCATGTGCCACAGGGTTTGAACAATTGTGTCGAACCGATTAGAGATCAATGGGGGATGAATCAAGCGAAAACGGATCACAGTGCTTTTACAAGCCTGCAGAGATTTTGTTCCACACATCTCGCTTTGGGGATAGATGCGTGTACTGGTATGACGTTGTTTAAAGATGTTGACACTGGGACCTAGTTATGATGTGCCACAAATTTGTTCCAAATTATTCTGGTGGAAATGTGATCGGATGCATAACATCTAGAGAAGCGGGGCCTTTGAATTTGGCCGTGCCGTGTTTTCGTGGAATATTATTTTCGTAAAGTTACGTGGAGGAACTCGTTAACATCACTTTTGAATCAACTCGCTATATTCTCAAGGTCAAATGTTGTCCTACAACGCCATATTTTTGAAATCCTTGCAGTTTATCGTGCAGAAACATCAGTTTCTGATTTTTGCCCATTCTGTGAGAAATCAATTCAAACGACTGCAACAAGCTGTTCAAGGACACTATAAAAAGCACCGTGCTGGCTGGCGTGTGACGCTTAGGCGTCGTTCTGTTGATAATTTGACCGTTCCATGTATTATCTCAAGTAACGTTCTTTCGCTCACGGGAAAACTCGATGATGTCAAGAGTATGATATACCAGAAGGAATGCAAGAATGTAGGGGCAATTCTACTCCAGGAAAGCTGGTTACATCCGGACATTGAGGATAATGTCGTGCATCTCGATGGATTTGACATATTCCGAGTCGATCGTAATGCGAGCTTCCTTCACGGAGGTGGTGGAGTGGTCACTTTCATCAACAGAAAATAGTGTCAAAACGCTCGTAAATGTTTTCAATTCAGTACTCCCAAGATAAATTGTATTTTTGTTTATTGTAAGCCCCGATTTATTAGTCACTTTCATCATATTACATTAGCGAACATTTACATC